ACTGCACCTGGCTATGATTTACTTTTTTATTTACACCAAACACTCCATTTGGTTGTTTTTATGATTTTTTAAATCTTTTTAAGAAAGAATTGAATAACAGCTATTTTATGATGTGAAAGAAATATGAAATGTGGAAATCAAGCCAGCCAGCCACTGCCTCTACATCGAGGAAGTTTAAGCGTTGGAAGGAAATAAAAAGTGTCTCTCAAATGAAAAAACAACAAACAACAACAACAAAAAACAGCTTCCAGATGGACCCAGTTTTCTGTGGTGCATGTTGGAGGGATTTTGATTTTTAAGCCTTCAGAGAAGTTATATCAGGAAGTGATGAGGTTAGTCAAAGCTGGAAATCTACACGTAAAACACTCCAATAGCCTGAGCTGAGCTATGAGAAGATACTGAACCAGAAAACAAAGAAAATGAACCTCCATAAATAGTCTTAGAACCCTTAAATGTTTTAATTTCTTTAATTTCAGAATGTTCTTCATGTCTGGGAATCTTTATAAAAATGTTCATTTTGTAGAACTAAGCATACTTTCCATTTATGAATTTCCTCTTGAAATTTCCAAATAGGTTAGTTCTGAATATGTCAAAGTTCTTGTAAGCAGAATAATGATCCCTCTATGATGTGCAGGTCCTCATCTCCTGTGAATGTGTCCTCTGAAAGTCTGGGGGCTTTGCAGATGAGATTAAGTATCATTTTTTTTATTCCCCTCTCCCCGCCTTATTGCGGGTTAACTTTCACATATCAGAGAAAACATTCAATCTTTGGTTTTGGGGGATTGGCTTATTTCACATAGCATGATAATCTCCAGATCCAGCCATTTACCAGCAAATGTCATGAAGTCATCTTCTTTATGACTGAGTAATGCCCATTGTGTAATAGGGCATTAATATTCAGGATAGACAAAGAACTCAAAAAACTTAACACCAACCCTCCCCTCAAATAACCCAATCAATAAATGGGAAAAGGAACTAAACGGATACTTTTCAAAAAAAGAAATAGAACAGACAACAAATACATGAAAAAATGTTCAACATGTCTAGCCATTAGCAAATGAAAATGAAAACTACACTGAGATTTTATCTCCAGTCAGAATGGCATTTATCAAGAATACAAGTAACAATAAATGTTGGCGAGGATGTAGGGAAAATAGTACACTCACACATTGTTGCTAGGACTGCAAATTGCTGCAACCACTCTGGAAAGCAGTATAGAGTTTCCTGAAAAAAAAAAAATAGAAATAGGGGCTGGGTTGTGGCTCAGTGGTAGGGTGCTTGCCTGACACTTGTGAGGTACTGGGTTCGATCCTCAGCACCACATACCAATAAATAAATAAAATTACCAAAAAAAAAAATAGAAATGGAACCACTATTTGACCCAGTTATCCCACTCCTCGGTTTATACCCAAAGGAGAGTAAGTATCTTAAAGGGAATGGTTGTTATGAACTGTATGGGCACACCCAATGTAAATGTAAGAGTCCTTATTAGGAAAAGAGGGAAATAGGAAGAGTGAGTGATATGGTGATGGAAACAGAAATCAAAATAATACAGGGTCATTTGCCAAGGAATGGGAGCAGTTCAGTTTCTAAGTTAGAAGTGGCAAGGGCATGAATTTTCCCCGTGTACCTAGAGAAGACATACATTCCTGCCCACACTTGAATTTGAGCCAAGTGAGACTCATGTTGGATTTTGACTTCCAGGACTTTAAGATAATAAATTTATGTTGTTTAGGATGCCAAATTTTACTGTGGTCATTTGTTACAGCAGTAATAGGAAACAAATACCCTTTTTTTAATCGTATGCCTGAACTTGACCTTGATGTGACTTTCCATCATGCCTTTCTAAGGGCTCTCTTATGTTTCCAGAAGTTAAACTATCTAGGCAGTTACAGAGTTTGAGTTTGGAGTCAAATATACCTACCCTCTGAAAATGTATAACCAAATCCCAAAGGGCTCTTTTCAGAATCCATGTTGAGGGGAGAATTCCAAGGACCAATTCTCCTGATTTAAACAAAAACAAAAACAAAAAACCCTGTATTTTCTCTACTTTGAAAAGAGTTGAAAAAATAAGGAAAATTATCTGCAATCAACCCAGGTATTTCCCACAGTATATTTTAGGTTTTGCTTTACATTCAGTTCAAATCGCAGGAAAAAATTTAACTGCTCAACTCTCTGAGGGAGAATTGTGAAAAAGAGAGTAGTAGGGCTGGGGTTGTGGCTCAGTGGTAGTGAAAAACCAGCCTCTACCTCAGAGCAAAGCCTGTCCAAGGAAGGGACATCACCTTTGTCCTTCGAAAAACCCACAGAGTACTCCTAGGCACGTTCCCACCCTGCTAAGTTGTTTATCTACAAATAACAGGAGAGATCTGCTGCGCCAGGTGTCCCAGACTCAGTCAGGCTAGGAGGGGATCCATAGCAACCCCCTAGAAGCCACCAATCAGCATGAGACAGGGAAATACCTGGGATGCCAGATTACCCTCCCAGTAGTTTGTGGTGGTTGATAACATGTTGGGAAACCATGTAGTTCAGCACGTACACCCCTCTTGGCTTAAACCAATCAGTTCAAATGAATACCCCTTTTGTACTGACCAATCACCCCTAGCCAACTTGTTCCCGCCAGTGAATGTGCTAATCATGTTTTAGAGTTGTTATTTTATTTTCCTGCGGTGTGTGATGATTTGCTAAGAGATGCTATGATGTATGTGAAGTCCCTGCCTTCTCCAAAAAATGTATAAAACTGCTGCAAACCCTGGGCTCGGGGCCTCTCAGCGTCACCAGTTGCTGTGTATGTGTGCGGAGGACCGAGCTAGCTCGCAATAAACACCTCTTTGCTGCTTACATCGATCTTGGGTCTCTGGTGGTCTTTTGGGGGTCCCGAATTCGAGCATAACAGTAGAGCACTTGTCTTGCATGTGTGAGGCACCTGGTTTGATCCTCAGCACCACATAAAAATATATAAATAAAATAAAATTATCATGTCCATCTACAACTAAAAAATATATAGAAAAGAAAAAGAAAGTGGGGGAATACTTGACAAGCTGGTAATGTCAAGATTGTCATCTGGTGAACAAAAGTAATAATGATCAGTGCAACTTTCTGGAGAAATCTGTCACTGAATTTTATAGTTAGTTTCTGGACACAAGACATGTAGGAGATAGGACAACTGAGTTATTCAAAATATAATTTAAAACATCATAAACTCAATAGATATTTTTGACATAAATTAGCCAAAGTAAAATATAAAATTTGCTTCTGGGTCCTCACGAAGCAATGGCATAAGTGAGGTGGGTTACAAGTTGGGGTCTGTGTCTGGTGTTTTTCACAAGACTGAAGGTAAAGTCAATAATATTTGCCTTTTTAAAATGAGATTGAGTAGAGGATAGGAAAGGCAGCAGAACACAACAGACACTAGTATGGCAATATGTAAATCAATGGTTGTGTAACTGATGTGATTCTGCAATCTGTATACGGGGTAAAAATGGGAGTTCATAACCCACTTGAATCAAAGTGTGAAATATGATATATCAAGAACTATGTAATGTTTTGAACAACCAACAATAAAAATAAAATAAAATAAAATGAGATTGAAGGAATCAGAAACAATGAATGCAAAACCACATTCAAAGGTTATGTAATTTACTAAAACTTTATTGCAGATATTGTTTAAGCACATGTAGGTTTTTAATGGGAAGGAACACCATAGAAAGGTCAAGTTTGTGAACTTGGTATAAGGAAAAGCACCAAAATAAATGCCGATAGTGTTGAGCAGAACTTCCTGGGATGATGTGCTGCACTCTGTGTCTTCTCTTCCCACAGATGAGATAGATTGCAAGATGTCTGTGACTGAAACTCTTCTATATTCAGTCCTTTAAATTCCCTGATCAGCCTCCTTTAACAGAAACCACACAGAACAAACTTCTGGGTTGTGATGTGTCCCTCTCTGCAGGTCTGTTAATGGTTAGATGTTTGGACACTGCCTACAGGAACCCCCTAGAGCACTATCTGAGAAATCCACAGAACTGCTGTACCCTGATCTGTTGGGTGTGTGGAAGAAACTCTGCTCTTCTCAAAGATGTGGCCCTAGTCATTTACTTGTTTCTATCTTTTTCTTATTTTTCCTTTCCTGTAGGAGTATTAGCCTTCACATCACTAAATGCTTCAGTTTCCTGTTTTTCATTTTCTCTCTTAGAAAGTCTGGTGTTTCCTCTTTTATCAGGGCTCTCAAACCTATGAGGCTCCTAATAGTACCTTTTCCTTTCTCTCTCTCCTCACAATCTTTCTTACCCCTGAAACTCAGGCTTTCATTTCCCTCCGTTGATTGGTCCTTCCCTCCCCAAGCTCAGGGAGCTTTTTTTTGTGAAAACTCAAAGGCTGATATGCCTATTACACTTTTACCTTGAGTCCCCAGATTTGTCCCCATTACTTATGAGGACTTATAGGAATTCCATTTTCATGACATCAGTAAACTAATTCTAAGTGAGCTTCTCACATCAGAGTCCCAGGACAGTGACAGGAACACAGTATGTAATCAAAATTATCAGAGGCTCACCAGAGGCTGCACAGAGGCCAAAGCAATAAAAGATTCACATCATTTACTAGATTTACTAGGGTACTTAAAACCAGCTATTGCTTGTAAGATGTGGATACTGGTTGCCATACTGTAGGGAATGAATTTGAGAAGAGATTAGTTAATAGAAAGTGATCTGCAAATGCAAGAAAATTGTGTTTTCATTGTCAGGGAACAACTTAAATTTCACATCTTCCTAGTGCTCAGTCCCCAGTGTCATTTCTGCTTATACTAAGCTGTACATATGACTGCACCAGAACTGGAATCAGAAAGCCCGGATCCTGGACCTGATTCTGTCCAGCTTTAGGTATATGACATTTTGCCAAGTCATTTTACTCATCTTGGTTCTGCCCAAGTTTGGGACCATTGTGTGACTTAGATAAGGTAACACACGTGAAATGCAAAACAATCACAGAAACAAAACAAAATATAGGAAGTAAAACAATGAAGATTTTATTAAGAAGCCAATTGTCAACTAACATGACAAAACAGAGTTGTCATGAAAGCACTGCAAAATGAGTCATCAAAACAAAATGATTGGTATGTATCATCACAAAGACCTAATGAGAAAGTTAGTTCTGAGTGTTTTCTTTATAATTTAAAATTTTTTCTTAGCTTAAAAAGTCAATAATCACTTTGTAAAGACTGAGACCATGGATCCAGATCAAGAAGAGATGACATTGACAAGCAGCAAACTAAATGAAGAGAATATCAAAAGTAGATAAGACTGTACTTGCTGAGGAAGCTCAGAATCTGTTAGCAAGATGATGACGGTTTGATGACAGTATGGGCATTACTAGTAGAGAAAGGGGAGTGGGTTTGCCATATTAGGGTATATGGCAGATCTGATAATGCAAAGTGGGGCAGGCAAGCAGGGTCTGTGATAAATTGATCAACAACTGCAAGACTGGCAGCAGCTGGATCCATAGCCCTGGCCTAGGCGACCAGGCAGGCAGACACAGGTGGGGTGGTAGCATCTCCTTGTGCAGTACACGGGTCCAGAGCAAACTGGCTGGCAGCAGCTGGACCCACAGCCACTGGACCCACAGCAGCTGGGCTGGCAGCAGCTGGACACACAGCAGCAGGGCTGGCAGCAGGGTGTGCGGCAGCAGCTGGTCACACAGGTGGGCTTGAAGGTGGTCCTGCAGCAGGTGGTTTGGCAGCAGGGCTGGCAGCAGCTGGAGCCACAGCTGGAGCCACAGCAGCTGGGCTGGCAGCAGGGTGTGCAGGAGCAGGTCACACAGGCTGGTTTCCAGCAGGTGGTCCTGCAGCAGGTGGTCCTGTAGCCGGTGGGCTGGCAGCAGGTGGGCTGGCAGCAGGTGGGCTGGCAGCAAGGGGAGCAGCAGCAGTCACTCATGGTGGCAGGTGTGGAGGGTGGATCCTGTTCACAGGAGAGTTTCCTAGAATCTGATGTTTCCTTTGCTTTTGCACCTTTTATACATGGTACCCCAAACTTGGAACCAATGAGCAGAACTTGTCTTTGTTATTGTTTATGCCAATTATACTAATCTATTGGGAAATGCTCCAAAGAGGAAGGTGTTCCTTAAGTATAATGAATTTTGTTTGAGTAAGTGATGTTTGCTTTTCTAATGGGTAAATAGCCAGTAAAAACTATTTTCCTGAAATGAGAAATTGGTCATCATTTTCTGCATCAGTTAAACACTAATTCTCACTTTATTTATTTATATATTTTAATTAATAAATGATTTTGCAGTGCTGGGAATCACATGTGCTAGGTAAGCACTGTACCACGAAGCTACACTCCCAGCCCTAAGCCTAAGTTTTAAAACCAAATGTAGTATTTGGTCACCTAACAGTTCCAGCTTAGCTTGGTGAGAGGTCAGAACCATTTCCATTCTCCATCTGTTTTCCCTGGGTGCAACTTTGAGAAGCAGTTCTGTAGAGAAGGTGGTGTTGATGAGTCACAGAGATGAGTAAAAACCAAGTTTAGGGAGACTGCAGATACTATCTGTAATGTAGAAACTAGTATAAAAGATTTATCCTCTTGCTCTAAATGATAATGTAACCTGGGTAAGTATATAAAATGAATGTTAGCAGGTTTTGAACAGTAATCAGCTTTATGCTGTGACCCTTGAAGCACATAACTACATGAAGTAAGACCTAACTAGTAATTCACCCATCCATTCCCTTATGGAAAAGTTTAAAATTCCAAACACTTCCTGTAGGAAACGTTGAGTGGTTAACTCATGCAAAACACCTGTGCATCTCTTAAGAAGGTAACTGTGGGAAACCATCTGTGAAATACATGAGGATCTTCTCAGCATGGCCAGGGAGAAATAGGCCTGGCATTGGGAACTTTCTGTGAGTCTCCCACGGAAATAGATTGCCCAATGCACGTGACCTTTTCTTTGGCTCTACTAGGAAGGTTCCTCGTAGTAGCTCCAGAGACGGGCGTAAACCATTAGGAACTGAGCAGCCCACCTTTAACCTTTTGGGGAAGAACATTCTATAGAATCTCTTTGATGTTTCCCAATATAAATAAAGCAGGCACAGGGCCATTTTGTCTGGAAGCTTGATCTGTCTGATCAGCTTGCCCGTCCTGCCCCTTATTTTGAAACTACTGTGTTCTGTGGTTTTTTCTCCACCGTTCTATTTTTCCCAGCTTTTATTTCTCAGTCAGCCCATTCCACCATGAGAACCCAATTCCCACGGCCCGTGCAGGCAGGAGGTGACCACAGTCAGAACCCCTTAATTTTCCCCTACAGCTATATGAGCCCTGGCACTGGGTCTCTTCATGATTCAGCTTTTCATCAGAAGATCTAGGTTCTTCTACCTGGGAACCAACCTAACATCCAGGTTCCCTTTGAATAGTGTGTCCTTCCTCCTCATTTTCTTCTTCCTGCCATTTCCCTCCTTTCCATGTAAACTCTGTGTTTGATTTTCCTTTAGCTTGTTTGTCTTAATCTCACAGGACACCAAGATTTGTTTTATTTCCTTTTGACCCAGAGAATATGATGGGATCCAAAAAGTATATGCCCATTGCAAGGTTGACTTAATTCTCAAGACAGTGTACAAATTTATCTTACTCTTACAATATTCATGTCAGGAAACTAAATTGCCTCAAAGATCGTGTTTTAGTTAGCGTTTGTGCTGCTATGACCAAAAAACCTGACATGGATTTTCAGAGGAGGAAAAGTTTATTTGGGGCTCACGGTTTCAGAGGGGTCAGTGCATAGACAGCTAGCTCCATTCTTCCATGCCTGAGATGAGGCAGAGCATCATGGCAGAAGTGCATGGTGGGGGAAACCAACTGGGAACATGGCAGCAGGAAGGGGACACGGGTGGGAGGCGCTCTGCTTAACAAGGACAAAATGAATGCACCAAGGGCACATCCCTGGGAACTTCCTCCTCCATTCACTCTCTATCTGTCTACTGTTACCACCTGTTCATCCTATCGGGATTCATGCACTGGTTAGATCAAGACTCTCATAACCTAACCATATCACCTCCAAACTGTCCTATATTGTCTCACACAGTATTTTTTAGCTGATACGTCATGTCTAAACCATAATAGATGGGGAGCCCAGGAAATATGGCTTAACCTGATGTGTTTTACAAGGGTGATTCTTAATCCCCAATTCTGCTAAAATGAATGAAATTGTACCGAGAGGCCAATTCCATGACATCAAAGAACAGATTCCTCTAGGGAAGGGCCGTGCCAGAAACCCGAAGAGCATGAGAAGAAGATTAACATTAAACAGGGATGAGAGGTGGGAGGGAAAGGGAGAGAGAAGGGAAATTGCATGGAAATGGAAGGAGACCCTCAGAGTTATACAAAAGTACATACAAGAGGAAGTGAGGGGAAAGGGAAAAATAATACAAGGGGGACAAATGAATGTCAGTAGAGGGGTCAGAGAGAGAAGAGGGGAGGGAAGGGGAGGGGGGATAGTAGAGGATAGGAAAGGCAGCAGAACACAACAGACACTAGTATGGCAATATGTAAATCAATGGATGTGTAACTGATGTGATTCTGCAATCTGTATATGGGGTAAAAATGGGAGCTCATAACCCACTTGAATCAAAGTGTGAAATATGATATATCAAGAACTATGTAATGTTTTGAACAGCCAACAATAAAAATTAAAAAAAAAAGAAACATGAACAGTGTTCATATTATTTGCTGGTGACTAATTGTGGTTGATTTGATCAGAAAAGAGAAGACGTTAGTTTCCTTTCATTGATAAACCCTTGAAAGAGGTCCTTATTGGCCAGAGGTGTGAAGAGTATTTGAAAAAAGCTTTGTAGAAAGAAATAAGTTTGTGGACCCTGCACCTAATAGAAGAAACAGTAGGCCTAAATCTTCACCATGTCTGCCTAGGAACTTTCCTGTTATAAGCACTTGAACTATATTCAAACTAAATGTGATAAATCAAACACACACCTGTAATGCCCCCCACCCGGACTTTTCAACACAGGAAAAAATGGGAAAACCACAATCATAGCAGAAACCCTAACACACTATTGCAAAAAACTGGTCATGTTAAGAAGAAAAATAAACAAGGATATTATCAATATCGATGCAGTGGATATTTATATACCACCTTATGCCTAACAAATTGAGTTTCCATAATTATCATAGACCCTCAGAATATTTACAAAATATATCAGGCTACAGAGAAAATCACAACAGCAGGAATAATGAAAGGCTTTTTCTGTTACCAAAATGCAATGAAATCAAATGTGAATAACAAGAAAACAGCACAATTGAATATTTTCTTTATTTCCCTTCTCCCCTCTCCCATAAATAATCCATGTAAAAACAGTCAGGTTTTTAAAAACACTCAGGTATTCCAATAATCTAAATGGAAAGTTGGTGCCTGCCTGGGAATAGGAAGGATATAAAGTAAGGTCGCTTCATTTTTTAAAAAAAATTAAATTAATTTTAACTTTTTAAAAAATTTCAAGACTAGTTCAAAGAGCTTTTGTTTTCTTTGAAAAAAATGATGCTCCGTAACTTCCACACACTGTATTTCTTTCATTAAGAACAGTCTCTTCCATAAGCAAAGTAGAACTTAAAATCAAGCTTTTGCTCTCATAAACAATGCTACGAGAACTCATGGATTAGTACACATGTATGCTGTTCAACACATTTCTAGAAGGGAAGTTGCTCAATCAAACTTATGCACATTTGAAACTCTAATAAATCAAGATATCATTGAATTTAATATAAGATACTCTTCAGATGCTATGGAATTTAAGCTAAATTATCATCTGAAGAAGTTGCCCCTGTTTAGACCCTTGCCATCTCAGTGAAAATGTATTTCCTTATAACATCATGAATTCATTCAAGTTTTAAAACTTAAATATTTTATATTTTTCATTACAAATAACAGCAATTCACTGAGGTATCTCCAGAGCTTAAGGCAGGACCTGCGCAAACTGTATGTAGGCAGAAGATGGTTTATAATGAATAAAGTGTTCAATTAAACATTTTAAACATTGTGATAGACTGGATAGCTTTCAAAAGTTCAAAAGACATTTAAATCTCTCTCTCTCTCTCTCTCTCTCTCTCTCTTTAATGAAATGACTGAATGTTCTTTATTCAATTTTCTATTTGGGTTTTTATTTGTTTTTTTCCATATTGGGTTATACCAGGCATTCACACATTTTCTGTTAAAATAGTTACTGTACTTGTTATTTATTCCCTGTTTATGTTTTAGATGTTTTACATTTTGTTTACTTTGTAAAAACAGGTATTTAAAACTTTTCTGTTTTAAAATTTTCCAATATTTTTCTTCATTGCTATTAACTTTTTTTTCCTGTAGTAGAAAAGCCATTCTATTTTAAACATCTTAATTTTTCCCCAATTTTTCTTCTAGTACTTTCATAGTTTATTTTATTTTCTTAAAAGAACCTTTAGAAAATGAGAAACTCTTCCACTAGAGGATTGGTATGAGACACAGACTTCAGGATGACACACAGAATGCTGGATTTCATGGAATCTGTCACGTGACAACCAATCTGATGAGTAAGATCAAGGGTCTTTGAAAGTAGATGATACACATAAGGAAGTAGGCAAGAGACAAGAGGTGACTCGGGAAGATACTGGATAAACCATACATAGTCAGAGAAAGGAAAACATGCACTCTATCTAACTTTTATGTAGATTCTCCCACAATTAGCTAATCTTGTAATCACTTCTCTATGAACATAAACAATAACAAGGAAATAATCTTTAACATGGTGTCAGCAGGTGGGTATAAAAGTGGACATGGAATTAGGAGACTAACACTTTTGGGAAACTCATTCTCTTAGAAACCCACCCAGAACCTCCACCCTCTTACACCATGGTCAACTCCTGTTCTGGCTCCCTCTGCTCTGATCAGGGCTGTGGCGAAGGCCTCTGCCAGGAGACCTGCTGCCAGCCCAGCTGCTGCCAGACCACCTGCTGCAGGCCCCAGTGTTGCCAGACCACCTGTTGCCGCCCCAGCTGCTGTGTGTCCAGTTGCTGCCGCCCCAGCAGCTGTGGATCCAGCTGCTGCAGGCCCCAGTGTTGCCAGACCACCTGCTGTAGGACCACTTGCTGCCGCCCCAGCTGCTGTGGGTCCAGCTGCTGCAGGCCCCAGTGTTGCCAGACCACCTGCTGTAGGACCACTTGCTGCCGCCCCAGCTGCTGTGTGTCCAGCTGCTGCAGGCCCCAGTGTTCTCAGACCACCTGCTGTAGGACCACTTGCTGCCGCCCCAGCAGCTGTGGATCCAGCTGCTGCAGGCCCCAGTGTTGCCAGACCACCTGCTGTAGGACCACTTGCTGCCTCCCCAGCAGCTGTGGGTCCAGCTGCTGCAGGCCCCAGTGTTCTCAGACCACCTGCTGTAGGACCACTTGCTGCCGCCCCAGCAGCTGTGGGTCCAGCTGCTGCAGGCCCCAGTGTTGCCAGACCACCTGCTGCCGCCCCACCTGCTGTGTGTCCAGCTGCTGCCGCCCCCACTGCTGCAGACCCCAGTGTTGCCAGACCACCTGCTGCAGGACTACCTGTTGCCGCCCCAGCTGCTGTGGATCCTCTTGTTGAACCTTGTATCTGACTACCAGCCATGAGCTAGCCATCATCACAGAGCCTGGCCACCAGCTTTATCATCTCTCTGTCCAGTAAGAAACTGGCATAAGGACATCCTTCTACATTAAAAACCACTAATATCTCCCATAGATCCCTTCACTATATCCCAACCTCAGATATATGATGCAATTAGATGAAGCCCCAGTTATTCTTGGCATTCATAATCATGTGTTAACTATTCTTCAATAAAAATAACTTCAAGATCATAAAGTCTTGTGCCTTCCTTCCATGATTTTCAGTTTATTTTCTGGTATTATTTCTCTCAAGGAGAAGAAAAGTTTGGGTTTCTGTGGCCAGAAGAAACATTCACAGTAGTCAGGAAACAGAATCAACCTAATTGTCCATCAACTGATGACTGGACAAACAAAATGTGGCATATATAAGATTTGGAATACTATTTATCTATATAAAGGATGAAATCCAGTCATTTGTGACAACATAGATGCAACTGGAAGACATTATGTTGTGAGATCAGCCAGGCACAGATAGAAAAATACCATACCCTATCACTCAAATGTGCAATCTAAAATTGTTGATCTAATAGGAGTTGGGAATAGAAAAGTGGTTACCAGGGACTGGAGAAAACAAGGAGGTGAGAAATAGGGAAAAGGTTGGTCATCAAGTGCCAAGGTTAGTTAGATAAGAGAAAGATGTGCTGATATCCAATTGCATCATAAGGTCAGTACAGGGAACAACAATATACTGTATATTTAAAATAACAAAGCTAGAAGAAAGGATATTGAGTGTATTTACTGCAAAGAAATGATAAATATTTGAGGAGATAGATATGCTTACCCTGATTTGAATGTTACAGAAATATATACAAATATCAAGAAATGTCACATGATGCCCCATAAATACATACAACTTTTACATGTCAATTCAAAAATAAAAGAGCACTGATTTTGTAAATAAAATATAATGCCTATATTTATAGAAAGGACTTTACCTATTTTTCAAAATAAGATAATCTACCTCATTTAACCAACAATAATTCAATTACAAGAAGATAACAATTTGATAACAATGATATGAGTGATCCCCACTGTTGGGCTCTGAGGATCATATCAAGATACGTGTGACGCAGGAACTTCCTACAAAGAGCTCACAACCTAAAGTTGGAAATAAGAGGAAGGACCCAAGGAGGCCCAATACTACTATCTTGGGTAGTATTGATCAGAAGGGGAACTTTCAGTCTCGGAGAATAGTAATGTGGGTGTGGAAGGTACAAACACACACACACACATAAAATCAGTAAATTCAGTGAAAATGTGCAGATCACAAATTCATGAGATAAAGAGAAGGCAGAGGAGGAGACAGGGAAATGTTTACATTCTTATAATGTCAAGAGGGAGATTGGCTGTGAAATCAGTTGCTGTTGACCAGACATGGCAGAGACTAAACTCTGCTAGCCTCACCCCAGTTCCCTTCATGTTAATGATACTGCACTTAAAAAATATATCATAAGCAAATGAGGAAGCTCCTAGTCAGAGGTGGAGTTACAAGTAAACACTCCCTTTGGAGAAAGCCTGGAGGAGTAGGGAAGGGTGAGAATGGCAGGAAAGGATGAGGTTGCAAGTGGGGAGGACTTGGACTAGCTTGAGACCTGTACCCCAAGCCTGCACTCTTGGCACAGTCTTAGATCCTGCAGACATGTTGCATCTCAGGCCAATTTGGTCATATTCAGATAAGCAAATCAAATGTCTCCTGCGACCACATTGCTTCACTTGTCCTCTTCATGCCACTTCTTTTCAACAAGGAAAAGAAAAGGTACTTCAACAAAATAATCAACAGAACAAGAAAATCATCCCAAGGGAAAGACCAAGAAAATATTATAAACATTATAATCTGGGGAAATCATAGCCTTTTAGGTAATGATAATACTTATGAAGTAATGTAAATTGTGGATGAGATGTGGACTGCCCTTATGTGATTGAATAGCTTTTCTGAAAAATTAAAGCATCATGCCTGGTTAAAAAAAAAAAAGATATGGATAAGAACGCATTAAGTCAGTGATACCAGGCATTTCAAGTTGAAGTTCAGATGCAATGGAAAACCACTGAGAATGAGTGCAGGGCCACACCCCAGAAGGGCAGTAGGAAGTCTAGAAGTACCAGTAGCTATACTGCACTCGTACTGTGGTGTTTAGATGGGCCTCTCACCATGACAAATGAATTTCAGATTCATGATCTCACCCAGTGAAGCTTGGCACCAAGGCAGTTTTCTGACTGTACCATTCCTGTTCTTTTTTAAAAAATTTTATTATTTATTTTAATTATACATGACAGTAGAATGCATTTATGCACCTTGATATATCATACATAAATGTTATATGTTTTCTCATTTTTCTGAGTGTATGTTGCAGAATCATATTGGTCATGCAGTCACATATATACAAACAGTAATAATGTCTGTTTCCTTTTACTATCTTTCCTACCTCCACATCCCCTCCTCTCTCCTCCCGTTACTTCCCTCTATCTAATATAAGGTGATGCTATTCTTCCCTAGTGCCTTCTGTCTTATTGTGAATTAACATCCACATTTTAAAGAAAACATTTGGCCTTTGGTTTTGTGGGATTGGCTTATCTCACTTAGCATGATATTCTCCAACTCCAACCATTTACTGGCAAATGTCATAATTTCACTGTTCTTTAAAGCTGAATAATAGTCCATCGAGTACATATATCACATCTTCTTTATCCTTTCATCTATTAAGTGACACCTGGGTTTGTTCCATAGTCTAGCTATTGTGAATTGAGCTGCTATAAACATTGATGTGGCTGTGTCACTATTGTATGCTGATTTTAAGTCCTTTGGTATAAACCAAAGAGTGGGATAGCTGGGTCCATTCCTCGTTTTCTGAGGAATCTCCATACTGCTTTCCATAGTGGTTGTACCAATTTGCAGTCCCACCAGCAGTGTATGAGTGTACCATTTTCCCCACATCCTGACCAACATTTATTGTTACCTGTATCCTTGATGATTGTCTTTCTGACAGGAGTGAGATGAAATCTTAGAGTAGTTTTGATTTGCCTTTCTCTAATTGCTAGAGATGTTGAACACTTTTTTCACATATTTGTTGATCAATTGTATTTCTTCTTCTGTGAAGTGTATGGAGGAGCCTGGGGTCTTCCATTCCTATTCTTTAACAAATTTCTTTTGGGAATACTGATGATTCATAGCTTCCCATGTCTTTGAAAGATTTTCCATTCCATAATCAAATAATATCAATATGGCCAAGAAAAGAACTTTAGTTAGAAACAAAATTTAGTTGAGGATACGTTCGTTAGCTTACTCCTTTCTGCCCGTGGATGCCGCCGAGAAAGCATCGTTAAAGTCTGTCTTCCTGCTGCCGTCATGTCTAAATCAGAGTCCCCTAAAGAGCCCGAACAGCTGCGGAAGCTATTCATCGGAGGGCTGAGCTTTGAAACAACTGATGAGAGTCTGAGAAGCCATTTTGAGCAATGGGGAACACTCACGGATTGTGTGGTAATGAGAGATCCAAACACCAAGAGCTCCAGAGGCTTTGGGTTTGTCACTTATGCCACTGTGGAGGAAGTGGATGCAGCCATGAATGCAAGACCACACAAAGTGGATGGTAGAGTTGTGGAACCAAAGAGAGCTGTCTCACGAGAAGATTCTCAAAGACCAGGGGCCCACTTAACTGTGAAAAAGATCTTTGTTGGTGGCATTAAAGAAGACACTGAAGAACATCACCTACGAGATTATTTTGAACAGTATGGGAAAATAGAAGTTATTGAAATCATGAATGACCGAGGCAGTGGAAAGAAAAGGGGCTTTGCTTTTGTAACTTTTGATGACCATGACTCTGTGGATAAGATTGTCATTCAGAAATACCATACTGTGAATGGCCACAACTGTGAAGTGAGGAAAGCCCTGTCAAAGCAAGAGATGGCTAGTGCCTCATCTAGCCAAAGAGGTCGAAGTGGTTCTGGAAACTTCGGTGGTGGTCGTGGAGGTGGTTTTGGTGGAAATGACAATTTCGGTCGTGGAGGGAACTTCAGTGGTCGTGGTGGCTTTGGTGGCAGTCGTGGTGGTGGTGGATATGGTGGCAGCGGGGATGGCTACAATGGATTTGGTAATGATGGAAGCAATTTTGGAGGTGGTGGAAGCTACAATGATTTTGGCAGTTACAACAATCAGTCATCAAATTTTGGACCCATGAAGGGTGGAAACTTTGGAGGCAGAAGCTCTGGACCTTACGGTGGTGGAGGCCAATATTTTGCCAAACCATGAAACCAAGGTGGCTATGGCGGTTCCAGCAGCAGCAGTAGCTATGGCAGTGGCAGAAGGTTTTAATACTGCCAGGAAACAAAGCTTAGCAGGAGAGGAGAGCCAGAGAAGTGACAGGGAAGCTACAGGTTACAACAGATTTGTGAACTCAGCCAAGCACAGTGGTGGCAGGGCCTAGCTGCTACAAAGAAGACATGGTTTAGACAATACTCATGTGTATGGGCAAAAAAAAAAAAAAACTCGAGGACTGTATTTGTGACTAATTGTATAACAGGATATTTTAGTTTCTGTTCTGTGGAAAGTGTAAAGCATTCCAACAAAGGGTTTTAATGTAGACTTTTTTTTTTTTTTTGCACCCATGCTGTTGATTGCTAAATGTAATAGTCTGATCATGACGCTGAATAAATATGTCTTTTTTTAAATGTGCTGTGTAAAGTTAGTCTACTCTGAAGCCATCTTGGTAAAACTTCCCCAACAGTGTGAAGTTAGAATTCATTCAGGATGATGCCAGGTTCAGAAACCTTGGTGTAGTTGTGACCTTCTGAAGTTCACCATTGAAAGGGTCACCCAAGCAGTCATGGAATTATTTGGTTAAAAAAATGATTGTTGGCATATCCTATGCAATATCTAAATTGAATAATGGTACCAGATAAATAATAGATGGGAATGAAGCTTGTGTATCATCCATTATCATGTGTAATCAATAAACTATTTAATTCTCTTGAATGGAAAAAAAAATTTAGTTGAAAAATAAAAATAAAAAGAAACAGTGAAAATGAACACTATCAGACATCAATAAAACAATATGGCATGAATATAATGAAAACATCACACCTTTAAACTCAACATTTTATTATCAGTCATTTTTTTATTTTTTATTTTTATTTAATTAGTTACACATGACAGTACAATGATCTTGACATATCACACATTTGAATCAAATGGGGTATAATTGCTCATTTTTCTGAGTGTACATGTTGCAGAATCACATTGGTCATACAGTCATGTATATACATACAGCAATAATAGTGTCTATTTTATTCTGCTGTCCTTCCTATCCCTCCTTCCCCTCCCCTCCCCTCCCATAAGATTAAGAAACAAGATCCATCTCTTTGATATCTTATTGCAACATTTCTCTCACTAGTCCAAAGGCACATACACATTGCTGTCTGAGGCAAGGGTTGAGGAATCTGTCAAAGCAAACGGTATTATTGCTAACAGTTTTGTAATAATCCATTATTTTGTTTAATCTTTTTTTAGAGAGAGAGAGAGAATTTTTAATATTTATTTTTTAGTTTTCGGCAGACACACATCTTTGTTTGTATGTGGTGCTGAGGATTGAACCCGGGCCGCACGCATGCCAGGCGAGCGCGCTACCGCTTGAGCCACATCCCCAGCCCCTGTTTAATCTTTATTTTAGTTCTATTACTCCTTATGCCAATTGCATCCATCAAAACAGAACATTTCCATCATCGTGAGATTCTCTTGTGTTGTCTTTTATAACCACACCACTTCCCTCCTACACTTAACTTCTTATTAACTCCCACCAACCACTGATCTCCTTGTCATTTCTACACTTAAGCCATTTCCAGAATTGCATACGCATGGAGACATACTGTATACAGGGTTTTCAGATTGCCTTTTTCTATACAACATAATTCTCTGTTGATTCATCCAGCCTGTTGAGTGCATCAGTAGTCCTTTTATTGCTCAGAGGTATTCTATGGTATGAATGTAACCCAATTTGCTTAACCATTCACCCACTGAAAGACGTCTCATTTGTTCCCATCCTTTGGCTGTGATGAACCAAATTTTTATAAACATTCATGCACAGGTTATTGTTTGAACATAAGTCTTCATTTCAGTGGTATAAATACTGAGGAGTGCAACCATTGGGTTTTATGGTAGTTGCACAATTTTAAAGAACCTGTCAGCCTGTTTTCCAGCATGGCTGTACCATTTCTCATTCCCATCAGCAATATCTTAGTAATGCATTTTTGTTGCATCCTTGCCAGAATTTGGTGTTTTTTCTTTTCAGCTTTTTTTTTTTTCTTTCATTTTACCATAGGTGTTTAGTGACAACTCATCATGGTTTTAATTTGCATTTCCCTAATCTTTTAGGAAAATCTTTCATGTTTGCCATTTGTACATTTTCTTCAACTAAGTGTATCAATATTTTATTATTAGGTCATATATATGAAGAAACAAGTTCTGTCTCATTTAAGATTAAAAAAAATCAAATCAAATCAGTAAACATGTAAATAACAGGAGGTGATATTATGACAGATTCTGAAAAAAATATTTCACTGCAACATTTCTCTCAGTACACATGGAAATAAATGCATTTGCTGTCTGTTTAAGAGACAAGGATTGTGAAATCAGTCAAAGCAAGCTCAGTAGGATGGTTCATGCTCTAATTGGACCATTTGCTTTTTTCTTGTTGAGGCTGGGAGTTTTTATGTATTCTAGAAACTAGTCCTTTGACAGATGTATAAATTATACATATTTTCTCTGACTCTATGGCTTGTTATTATTGTCTCAACAGCATCTTTTATAGAGAAAAAAATTGAATTCTGATGAAGCCCAATTTATCAAATTTTCTCCTATGAATTTTACTTTGTGAAGAGTAAGAACTTTTCCTAGCTCTAGTTCCACAAGGCTTTCTCCTACACGTTTACTTCTGAAAGTTTTATAGTTTTACATCTTATATTTAAGCCCATGGTATATTTAGCTATATTTTAGATAAGGTATGAGACTTAGGTAAAGATCTCCCTCCGCACTTTACTTTAGTGTACAGATGTTCGATTGCTCCAGCACCATGTTTAAAAGGCTGCATTCCTCTATCAAAATGCTTTTTACTCTTGCAAAAAAATTAGTTGGAGCCCATGGACAAGTGAATGAATAAAGAGAATGTGGTATGTGTACACAACAGAATATTATTCAGCTATAAAGAAGAATGAAATCCCATCATTTGGAGCAAAATGGGTGCAACTAGAAGACATTGTGTTAAGTGCAATAGGCCAGACACAGAAAGGCAAAGGCCACCTGTTCTCTCTCATATGTGAAAACTAAAAGTAAGTTGACCTCCCAGTAGAGTAGTGATTAGTAGAGGTTGAGGTTATGGTATGAATATAACCCAGTTTGCTTAACCATTCACCCGTTGAAAGAGGTTGAGAATGGTGTGTGGGCAGGGAAAGGGTGGATAAAGTGAGGTTGGTTTTGATCAGTGCAAGCTACATATATGAATGGAAATAGCCCACTGAACTTTGTTAATATGTATAATTAATGCATGTTAATCAAAAATAAAAATAAAAGCTAAAACTATCAGTTGGGCATATTTCTGTAGGCCTGAACTATCAATATCTTTTGAGAAATATTTTATTAGTGCACGATAGTTATAAACAGTAGTGGGGTTGATTTTAACATAAGCATACATGCATGGAATATCATTTGCTCCATTTCCGTCCCCAGTTCTTCTTTCCTCCCCTTCTTCCTCCTTCTTTCTCCTTTCTCTATTTTACTGATCTTCCTCCTGTTTTTAGTTAAAATGATCTTTCCTCACCTATATTTGCTCTCCTAATTAATTCCTTAGATATTCTTTTAGCTCACTGAACATTTTAATAATCAGTGTTTTATAGCCTTTCTCTGGAATTTCATCCACTTCCATATCTGTGGGTTTCTTCATTGAGAGATTATAAATTTTAGAGGGAATACATCTGTTTTCTCATATTTTCAGTGATCTTGATCTTGGGCATCTGTTGAGATGGATTCCTTTTCCTCTTTTATTCATGGGTCCTTTGGCATGTAGGTATCTTTTCTGTTCTAGAGACTCATCTCTGTTTTTGCTGTTTGAGTAGATGTCCAGAAGGGGGATCTGAGATCCCCCTCCTGCTGTTCCTACTTGGGGCCTCTTTGTTGGTTTGGGTTTTGTTTCCCCTCTTCTGTGTTCAAATACTGCTGGAACTTGGGTGCGGCTAGTTTGTGTATAGAGTGAGGTTTGCTGTTAGTGTTGCTCAGCAGAAGGATTTCTATTCTGTGAACCTGTCGTGTTCCAATCACTTCCCAGCCCCTCTCAGAAAAAGGGGGAGCAAGAAACAGCAATAACGGGAGTAACCAATGTACAGCCTTAAAATAAACGCCGGGTGCCTACTATGGCATCTATTACACTAAATGCCACCTAAAGAGGAATGGAGGGGTCAGCCTTTAACATGTGCACCACCAACAAATAGCTGTTGAACTAGATATAACAGCAGGTGTTAACCTCATCATCTACCGTATTAACCACCACAGCAATGTGGTGGTGGAGAGTAGGAATTATATAAGCTAAATAGTTCTAACAGTAAAATTTCATTTCTTTAAACAAAGAAAAAATGAGGCAGGAAGACAAGATTTTATGTTTGCAATGTTTAGAAAGTGAACAGAGGGGACACAGGAGAGAGGTAGCAGGTGATGGCTAGAGAAGGAATTAAAAAAATAACTAAAAATAATAAAGAGAGAAAGAGACACAAACCGAATTTGGTTATTAGAGGGGGAAGAAACAAAGAAGAAACAAAAACAAAAGTAGGAACAAAAGAAAAAAATGGAAAAAGTAAAAGAAATAATTTTTTACAAAAGGAAAAAAATAATGAAATATTAATGAATATTAATATTAAAATATTAATGAATATTGAAAAAGTAATAAGTTTTGTTTCTGTTTCAATGGTCCAAACTGTTGGCAAGGATGGATGTTCATTGTTTATGCCATTCTTTGCATTTTGTTTTGGGTCATGTACCACTTGGATCAAGGGCTGGATTTGTTAATGTGACCTCTTGGCTTTTCTCACCAAGTTGTCAGCCAGTGTGGCTTGGAATACCCAGCAAGCTACTGGCCTCAGAGAGGCACCTAAGTTAAATGAGATCCAGTTTCTATCCCTCAGGGCATTTACTGTGCAATCAATCTTGGATTCAATAGGAAGATGTATGCCAGGTAGGAAATGTTAGTAATATTGGTGAGAGAGAGAAATGCATTCTACGAGAGAAAAGTAATATATAATGTTTAACTTACAGAGGTAAAATATGTCAAGTTTAAAATACAGGGGCATATGCACAACTTAACAAATACATAAGCCAAGACAAAGTGAAAGAGCATTGATTGACTGCTGAATGTTTATATTCCTATGACAGTACAGTCCTTTTCGAAGACATATGTCAAGATTAATTTATGAAGTCAACTGATAATGGCGAGTCCTCTGGGAAGAAAAGAGCCAGGGACTTCATGCTGTGGGAAGGTCAGGGAGCATGATGGATGAAACATACGGTTTATAGGAAAGAAAGCAATGGAAGGTTGCCGGAGCTGCTATTTTTGCATGGTTTATTGACACATTAATGACATTCATCCATACATGATCCATTAAGGCTCCAATTGCAGGGTTTGTATGCATGTCTATGACACATGCTAAGTTGTTCTACTCGCCCAATATGACCTGGATGAAGTTACCCAGCTACCTGTGTTTCCTCTCTATGTTGAAATTTGTTGAGAGCCACAGCCAAGTCGGGATGGCACCTGGCATTGCCAGAAGGAGTAGTTGAGAGGTGATGCCAGCGAGCCATTAAGATGATGATAATTAAGTTAAGCTGTGTATAATTGCTGTGACTGGATGATGCTGGATTGGGGCAGGCTGGGTATATGAACCCCTGCTGACCAGCAATAGGTCTGCTCCTGCTACTTTTGAGTTCTCCCGAGTTTCCCGTTGAGTTCCCGTTGAGTTCTTGCAGGGTTCCCGGGGGAGCCTGATGGAGAGCTGAGAGAGTTGCCGGGGAGTGCGCGTGGAGTGTTGGTGGAGTTCCGGCAATAAAGGAGTTCCTGTTTGAACCTGTAAGTCCCTCGTGGCAGCTTGGTTATTTTGTGCCCAGCCAGACTGCAGCAGAAATTGCCTTCTAAATTGAGAGTATTGTTATCAATAGAAGAGCTGAACATTTTAGCTCTGGGCAAATGGTTTATTTGGAAAGAAAAACAAAAAAGAAAACAAAGTCAGCTCCAAACTAAAACATATCGTATTAATATGGTGACGCAATGCAAGAACATGTCCTTGGGCTTAGGAGTCACTCTTATTATTCCAAGACTGTACCTGCTCTTTCCAAGATGTTTCCCACGAGAGCATTCCTTGAGGGACCAGGCAGGGGAAATGTGTGAGAGGCTCAAACTATTATGCCTGCTGTGCCATCTCTGAATATTGAAAAAGTAATATGTTTTGTTCATTTTTATTCTCTTTTACAAGGCACATAAACATTTGTAAATACATTACATTAACTTTTGGATTTTTCCTCTATCACCAAAAATATAGATATTGTTATTCTATTTTTTTTGTTTTTGCATTGGCCTACCATTTATGGACTTTTCTCATGTTTATGCTTGGGTTTTCTTTGTTATTTCTTATTCTCTACCAACTTTAGAAACATTTGAATCTCTTCAAACCAGTTTCATCTCCTGGAATCACTTTTTTGTATGCTTTGTCTACACTGTAATGGGATTTTAAATTATGACTTTTTTTTTTTAGTTGTTGGGGGCACTAAAACAATTTTAGAGGGAGATCATGAGTCAATTGAACCTATGAGAAAATCTTTCATTGCTCTCATAAACGACTTCTAGTTTATCTGGATTTAAAATTATTAGACACAATCTTTCCCACCCCCAATGCCTTAGATGTAAATAAAATATTTAAAAATAAAATTTGAGCTCATCTAAGATCCTATGGAAACACAGAGAAAGAAAAGTCTCACCAACATGTGGGGCCTAGAATGCTGTAAGTGGGGTACACTTATAAAATGCTAAGGTTAATTTTTAAAGTTTAGAAATAGTAGGTTTTTCAGATATCAGAAAATAAATGATTAATGCCTCCTGTTCCTCTTTTAATCCATCATTATAAACCAACAAAGGAAAATGAACAAACAGAAACACTAATTCTATTTCACTGAGGCAGGAGAAAATAGAAAATATGAAATGGCAACAAATTTTTGGAGATAGCAGCAGCAGCAGCAGCAGCTAACTTAACGTAGCAAAAGGGGCTACAACATGATTGCATATGGACAGAATATCATGGAATGTGGAGTTGATTTGCCTTAAATCCTTGGAAAGGCTCAGAACCTGCTGTCTGCTAGCTCTGCTTTGAGCTAGAGGAAATAGCCACTCCTGTTTAAAATCACCTCTTTGATCTCTGTGGTCCCTGGAACTCTGGAATGGCAAATGGAGAGCCCCATCAGCTCCCAAAGCTGGGTTAATTTAAGAGTCAGTCCGTTTGATGGGAGCTATAAAAGTTGGAGTGCTTGATGTGTAGACAAACTGCTCTCAGAGAGAGAATTGAGTCTTGGGGATTTGGCAGGAAGTTTTATTAATGAACTGCCCTAACTGCCTTCCCTGCCAGTTCCAAGATACAGACTAATTAAGAGGCCTGATCCTGGTAAAGCAGCTGGGAAAGTGTGTTTGTTGTCAATGCCCCCACCCCACCCCACATCCCCCAGGGGAGAAACTGTTATTGCCTGCTTGTTCTGAGCTAAGTCTGGAGTTGGGATGAGGTGGGGATGGGGGTTGGTGAGTGCTCACCTGTTTGTTTAAAGCTACTTCTTTGTCCCAGAGGACTGGTAAATACAGAGTCCCAGCCATTCCCAGAGCTAGGTGATTTAGAAGACAGTCCTTCTGGTGGAAGCTGAAAGAGTTGGGAAGCTTAAAATGTGGCCCAACTTCTGGGCAGAGGTTGGAGACTTGGTTTTATAGCTGGAATAATCTGGGAAGGGAGGTCTGGGGAAATGCCCACATTCGCATTCTAGCTCCCTAAGACCTTCCTAAATCCCTGCCCCATCCACACCCAGATTAACCTTCTCCTTTTTTGCCAGTACATATATATCTCTGCTTCCATCTTTAAGTTTTCCAGTGGCTGCAGCTCCGTGCCCAACGTGGGTCTCTCATTCTGGGATCTTGAAGCTCTCGTTCTTTTATTTGGAACACATTTTTCACGTTGCTTCATTGTTATTGCTTTTTGTGCTTGTTTTGCACATGAAGTACAGCACCCCCTCCCGCCCCCCAGTTACTCAGACTGAACTTGTGTGGGAGCTGAATCTCACTGTGCACCAGGATTGCCACAAAAACAAAAAAAACAACAGAAAGAGAAGGTCTAGATTCCTCCCCACACCTTCTAAGTCAGCCCTCCTAGGACTTCCTGGTATCCTCTTCCAATTCACAGCAAGCTCCTTCTCTCTTGCCAAGTTATCACTTTTCGTCAACTAAGCAGTTTCATGGTATGTGTCTTTAGAGAATGATTTCTTGTGTAATGTACTGGTGGGAAAACTTGGGTTTCTGAATCATCTTTCTATGGCAGGAGAAAGATTTGAAGTACTTAATTAACAGCCAGTAATTTGAGGTCATCAGATAATCAGTACAGACATCAGGCTGAACCCTAAAGCAGGGTCCTGAAGCCCACTCTGTGTTTCTTGGCCTTGACCCTTTCTTGCTGGATCACAGGAATATGGCATTGAGCAGGGTACTCAGGGAACTCAAGACAATGGCTACTTTCCAATTGAATGCCAATATTTCAACCAGTACAGTGGAACCGGTGCTACTGGCTGAACACCAGGGATGCCCCAATCCCAACACCTAGGAAGTCATGGTGAAGGTTATGAAATAAGACAAAGTTTTCTTTCAATTTTTTTTTCTGCTAAAAAAAGAAAAGCAAGTTATCATTACACAAAGACAAACTCATTCAGAAGAAAATAAAATTTTCCATGATCCCATCAACCAGAGATAGGTACTATTAACTATTAATTAACAACTAGTAATAATTATATCAATATTTTCCTTTACACTTTAAAGATAATTGAAGTAATACTATGAATTCTATTTTTATATAGATATAAATGTTTTTTAGTAACATAAGCATTGTTACCAATTCCAGTAGTGAATCCTGAAGGTCTATATCCATTCTAGATAGATATTTGTCTTATTTTGTGTTGTTTTGGTGAAGGTAGGGGTTGAACTCAGGGCCTTGCATTGGACTAGGATAAGAGCTCTCCACTGAGTTACACCCCAGCTCTCTTATTTGCCTCTTAAAAAGAGGAAATCCATCAATAAATTTAAGTCCAGGAAATGGGACAGGAATAGTTTGAGTATTCTGGGGATTCTCCTATCTTTGCCCAGTGACCATTTTTTGGTTGCACCTGGCCACACGGATAGATCTTACCTTACCTTCCAATGCTAAGATCGTATATTTCTGAGATTCCATTATATTTCTTTAGGCCAAATCTTTTTTTTTCCATAAAAGAAAACTTCCAAAATTTTGAGCATGGTATGACCCATAGATGGGAAAGAATGACACCTGAATGACATGTCACCTTCACATGACCTCTGCTCTGTAGAAGAAGCTGGAATCTGCAACATAGGTGATGTCCAAAAGGAAGGAAGCATGAGATGATTCAGCAGGACAGAGCAGATGGAGTGAGAATCCACATTAAGCTGAGAATCATTAGCCAGCATCTAAACCAAGATGATTCTTTAAGGTAAAGGAAGACACAGTTACACATCAGGAAGAGTCAATGGGATGGAGCCCAATTCTTCAATAAAGGAAACAATGTTTTCCATCCAACTCAGAAAACATAATTGCCTAATTTAACAATTGCTTACTTATTTGGACAAACAATAACAAGGAAAGAGCTCCTGGAGGAGGGTATAAAAGGCAACCCTGGGCAAGGAGATCTCCAGATTCAAGAAATACACTCATTTGAAAACCCACACAGAACCTCCAACCTCTAACACCATGGTTAACTCTTGTTCTGGCTCTGTCTGCTCTGATCAGGGTGGTGACCAAGGCCTCTGGCAGGAGACCTGTTGCCAGCCCAGCTGCTGCCGGACCACCTGCTGCCGCCCCAGCTGCTGTGGGTCCAGCTGCTGCCGCCCTACCTGTTGCCAGACCACCTGCTGCAGGACCACTTGCTGCCGCCCTAACTGCTATGGGTCCAGCTGCTGTAGGCCCAGCTGCTGTAGGCCCTGCTGTGTGTCTAGCTGCTGCCGCCCCAGCTGCTGTGGGTCCAGCTGCTGCCGCCCTGCCTGCTGCCAGACCACCTGCTGTAGGACCACTTGCTGCCGCCCCAGCTGCTGTGTGTCCAGCTGCTGCAGGCCCAGCTGCTGTAGGCCCAGCTGCTGTGTGTCCAGCTGCTGCAGGCCCTGCTGTGTGTCCAGCTGTTGCCGCCCCACCTGCTGCCAGACCAACTGCTGTAGAACCACCTGCTGCCGCCCCAGCTGCTGTGGCAGTTCTTGTTATTGAATGTCCTGATCTGGATCTGTGAAGCTGCTTGCCTTCATCATCTCAGTCCAGGCAGAAGGCATCTATTCAACAGAACATGTGGACCTCCTGAAATCATGAACTTACGAATAGATCCATGGAGTGCTTTGGAAAACCCTCGTCTATATGCTATTACTTATTCATTTTATAGAAACATTCCATTAGTAGTAATTTAGAATTTGCTGTCAAATTCTGCATCAATTTGTTCTAGAATTCCTAATTCTGATTCAAAATATAAAACTCCTCAAATGTTCCACTTTTAGATTTTTTGTTTTTAGTTTTCGGTATTTTTCCATGGGATCCATTTTCATGTCAAATTGATGTTTTTCAATAAAATTTTTTAGCATTCAGATGCACTGAAAGTGTTCATATCTCATTATTTCTGATAATGAAGTGGTCTGTTCATATTTCTGTCTCCTTTTCTTCATGTCAGAGAAGTACATGTTATCAGAGGGACTTAAAATTGAAAAATTAAATTGGCATTCATCCATGAGATTTTTTTATCCAAACCAGAATTCAGTCTGACAGTAGAAATGATGACATAAAGTTTTTAAAGAGGAATATTTTATGCTAACACATGTAACATAAGAGGTATGAATTGAAATTGATGCCCCCCCAAATCCCCCCACCAAATTATTCTGAATTGATTTAAACTGATTTAGATATAGCATAGACTATAGCTCAAGGATAAGAATTAAGACAGAATTGGAGCAATGATGTTAAATGCTGACCTCACCATTCTTCTTTAGGTGGTAATTAGTATTACAGGTGTCAAAGTAGACTAGACATTTATTTTAAGTCTGCACATTGGTTGCTAACATTATTGCTATGCTTAACCCTTCTTTTTCTAATAGGGGCTGGAAATTGACTGGAATACTACAAGTTCACAGGGTAGAGATCCGGGTTCTGAGCAACACTTACAACTCAGCCAAATAACAGAGAACATTACTTCACACACATAAACTACCCTTTCTTGAGCTCCATTCATACTTTAATACTCAAATTGGAGAGACAAAAACCCAAGCCAACCAAGTGGAACAACTAGAGGACATCTTCTGGACACATGCTCATGTAGCATAACCCTGAGAAGTCCCTAGAAGAAAACCAACTACACACCAAATGACACATACATAAAAGGGGAAGAGGAATCCATTAAACAAATGCACAAATTCAAAACATCTTATATTGTAATGAAACAGGCAAATAAATCCCCACCCACCAAATTCACAATTACCCAATTAAAAAACTCACAGATATGTATGTGGATGAAATTCCAGAGAAAGAGTATAAAAAAACTAATTATTAAAATGTTTAATGAACTAAAAGAAGAGCTAAATAATGAATTTAGGGAGGAAATACAGGAGGTGAAAGATCACTTCATGTATCAATATATCCTGAAAAAAAGAAAACAATCATAAATCCCAAAAACGAAAGACATATTGAATTAAATTAAAAATTCACTTGAAAGTATCATCAATAGACTAAATAGAAAACAAAAATTCATGCTTGGAAGACAGAATTTCAGGCCTTGGGTTCCAAGATGGCAGGCCAGAGGGAGGCAGCACTCTGTGTTGCTCTGTGACCTGGGGTTCAAGTTGTGAGAATATGGCTTCTCTGTGAGCAATATTCCTGCCCCCTATGCAGGAAGCACCATGCCCGTCCAGGACTCCAGCCCTCAGCATCAGAGTAGGTCTCCCAACTAAACTACTTGCCTATGCAGGACTATTGGATACCCAAGTGAGACCATCAGAGGGGGCAGCAGCACCTGCAAAGAACTGGAGCAGAAATCATGGATGCTGCTCTTACGGAGGACCCCTGGCAACTTCCCACAAGTAGGAGCTCCAGCCACCACCCTGTGTGGACCCCCATTTACCAACGTGGGGAATCCCTTGGTTGCCGCCATCTTGGGACTCTGCAGCAGCAGACTTATCCCCAATGCACCATATCCTGCCCGCACCCAGGAATTTCACACAGGCTCTGAAGTCAGCTGACACTGCAAGCCCCAGAGCTTGCCACTAAATTCACCATTTAACACCATCACCAGGCTCCCTCCACCAGAGCAGACACCCCACCACTGAAAGCAGGAGCCTCCATCTTGGGTCACCTTCATCAACATCTTCCAGGTACCCAGTTTCTAACTCCCCACTCTCCCCAGTAGCCGCCAACCCAGCATAGGGACACCCTGGTTACCTTCACTATCCTGCAGGTGGAGATACCAGCTAACAACAGCCAACCCCACCTACTGAATGAGAAGGGAAGCAGGAAAGATACTGATAACTAGTATATTAAAAAAAAAAAAAAAAGCCTTGTGTCTTCCTTCAAAAATTTGTTTTTCTCTTTCTCTCTCTCTCTCTCTCTCTCTCTCTCTCTCTCTATTTTTTTTCCCTCTCCCTCTCCTTTCTCCAACCCTCACATCCCCAACATATGTGAAACCAAGGACTTTGCATGAATTAGGATATTGAGGTCTGTGATGTCTGAATAGTATATTATGTTGTGTTTTACATTCTTTTCAGTCTTCTTTTTTTTTTTTTAATGGGATGGATTCAAACTAAAAAGCTTCTTCTCAGCAAAAGAAACAATTAGTGAAGTGAACAGAGAGCCTACAGCTTGGGAGCAGATGCTTTTCACTTGCACATAGAGCACTAATCTCTAGGGTATATAAAGAACTCAAAAAGCTAAAAACCAAAATAACGAATGACCCAGTCAATCAATGGACCAAGAACCAGAACAGACACTTCTCAGAAGGTGATATACAATCAAAAAATTGAAACAAAATAAACAACTGAAAAAAAAATTGACAAAACAAAAAGTCAGTTCTTTGAAAACATAAATAAAATTGACAGACCCTTAGCCATTCTAATGAAGAAGAGAGAGAAAACTCAAATTATTAACACATGTGAAGAAAAAGAAAATATCACAACAGACACTGCAGAAATACAGAAGGTAATTAGAAATTATTTTGAAAACTTGTACTCCAATAAAATAGAAAATATCAAAAGCATTGACAGGTTTCTAGAGTCCTTGCCCAAATTGAATCAGGATGATATACACAATTTAAACAGATCAATTTCAAGTGATGAAATAAAAGACACCATCAGAAGCCTACCAACCAAGAAAAGCCTAGGACTCTAGGGCATGGCTGCCGGCTTCCTGGTCTTCAGGCCGCACATGTGGCTGGGACGGCTCCTGGCGATCAGCCAGGAGGCGGTGCTGTGGGCGGTGATGGAAGAGACAGACCACCTCCAGGATAGGTCCAGGACTCTTCCGCCCTGGTGGACGCCTGGTGCCTTCCCTTACAGACTATGGGATGGGTGTAACATGTGAACTTGCTCCACCCCTCTGACCTTTATTCTGATTGGCTCCTGTGCAGTATATGATCTGTGTGTACTTTCTCATTAAATGAGATCCTGCTTTGACTGTTCTCCCTGGCATGTCTGATTGTCCTCCGGCAAGGGAGGGCTGGGTGTGGGCAGCCAGTCGACCTTGACCTCTCTTGGCTCATCTTGGTCGGGCGGTGCTTTCCCCGCTTCTCCCACTGGTCAGGAGGAGATGGGGGGCTAAAAACCCCGACATCTGGTGCCCAGAACAGGGACGCTGAACCTGGACATGGAACAGGGACACGAAGGAAGTATTGGCAAGCCAAGCCACTCAAATTTCAAGGTAAGGGTATCCCTGGAAAGATGGGGCAATCTTATACTAAGTATGATGACCCAGATTGTGAAGCCATTGTTAAGGAGCCTCTTGGGTCAGCGAGTCAGTCCTCTAGCTGCCCAGGAAGAGAAAGATTGAAAACCTCACTCTGACAATGGCATCCTAGACCCTTTTGATCCCTGGTCCTCTGGGTTCCACACCAAGTGCCCTTGTCCCAGAACACGTGGCAGAGAGTCAGGATGGGGAGCGGTGTCTGCCATATGATCACCCCTCCCCCCACGGAAATTCTATGCCCTCTCAAAAAAAAAAAAAACCAGAAAAGCCGGGTAAGCCGCCATCTTTATGGCTTTCCTGGTAAATGCTAACCCTGGGGGCAATAGACTGGCCTTATGGTATCCCTGGGAGGCCCAAGATTTGAAAGAACTCAAAAAGGTCGTCTCCGAGGATGGACCTAATTCACCCTGGGCCAAAACTATCCTCCAGGGTCTAGCCCACCAACAGTGTACCACCTAAGTTCCAATTTGCCTTAGATGTGTGGAGAAAGCTTTAACTTTGATGTCTCCCTTTTTCTTTTTTACAAATTTTGACATCCCAGGAGCCCCCACTCCACTTTCTTGGGGAAACCTACTACTGAAAAGTTGGGAGATATGGAGTGTGCCTGGTGCCTGGGGTGGGAAAAAACCAGAGGAACTAATCCTGTAAATGGGAGGAGGGACTGAGGGACTCCCAGCAGCTGCCAAAGCCCTTTTGCTTCGGGGAACTCCCTCCTTCCTTCCCTGCACTGTAAGGATTACTCCACCTCTGTCTACTTAAAAAAGGGGAAAAAAGGGGGGACATTGAATGTAGTAATGTCTTGATATTATAGATTGTTTCTTGGGAATAATCTTGGCTGAATGTGTGTCTAAAAGATGACGTTTTATTGTAACAATCTGGTATCTGAATGGGTTTTTGAAACTTTGAATAATCTTACAGTTAAAAGTTGGGTTTAGGTAATGGTTTAGTTTATGACTTCAGATAATTCATGCCAGAGAACTTAAATACTTAGTATGGAAAACTAAAGAACTGTACTTCCAAGTTGGCAAGTAACTCCCAATCATTCAGTTTTTTTCATCAATTTTTGAATTAGGTAGCCTGGCAAGATTTCATTAGGTGTACCAGTGCATTATTAATTTGGTCAAGGATAGTAATCTGTTCCCTCAGTGTGTAGGATTTAGGAAAGTGTTGGATTGGGACGTTGGTCTGACTTATTGAAATGACATTGAATAGCAACAGTCTTGGAAATTTTTAAAGTTTAATTTTGGATATAGATGGTAGTGTGTGGTTCTCTTTTGGAATTTTTCAGGTGATTTAATGTAACTTAATACTACTTTAGGAACTTCAGAACAAAGGAATGGCTTAATGATCCTGAAGGGATTTCTTCTGATAGTAGCTTTTATATTATCAAGTAAGATCCTATTTTCGATTGACTGGAAGATGGCGGTGAGGGGAGTGCATTGCCCCCGTGTGCTGCTTCATTGTGTGGGAGTATGACAAGTCAGGACTGCTAAAGGCTATCTTGTTAGGAATTTCCAGCAATAGTGGGGTGCTCCGGAACCTGGAGGAAGGATTCCCATCGCACGAGGATCGGCTACGGGGACTCAAA